GGTACAAATAAAAAATTCAAAACAGCTGGGAATCCACGATATCGAGGTGATATTAATGTATTGTTAGTTGGTGATCCAGGAACTAGTAAATCACAACTATTGCAGGTATGTTTGTCTCTATTAAGAGTTTTTGAATTAAATAGGTGAGTCTATTTTATTATGACTAATTGAGATTATAGTATGTACATAAAATTGCTCCTCGTGGAGTATACACTTCTGGTAAAGGCTCTTCAGCTGTTGGGTTAACTGCATATGTTACTCGTGATCCAGACACAAGGCAAATAGTATTAGAAAGGTATGACTATACTGAATATTTATAAATTTTGAATTTATCAATTATCAAAAACATTTATGTTTGAATTATTTTTCATAGTGGAGCATTAGTGTTAAGTGATGGCGGTATTTGTTGTATTGACGAATTCGATAAGATGTCCGAAGGAACCCGATCAGTTCTTCATGAAGTGATGGTTAGTCATTTTATTTATCTTCAATTAATTATATTAATTATCATTATTAAAACATTTACACTGTCTGTTCACAGGAACAACAAACTGTTTCAGTTGCCAAAGCAGGAATTATCACTACTCTCAATGCCAGAACATCTATTCTTGCATCTGCAAATCCTGTAAACTCAAAATATGATCCCAATTTGTCCATCGTTGAAAACATTCAGTTGCCACCGACATTAATGTCAAGGTAGATTATTATTTAATGTGAATCCACTATCTCTTATTATACGAAATGATTATTTATTTGCCATCTTCCTATACACTGGTAAGATTTGATCTTATCTATTTAATATTAGATAAAGAGAATGAACTGATTGATAGACGTTTGGCGCAACATATTGTATCTTTTTATTTAGAAGACACACCTAATGTTGCTGGACCTAATATCTTGGTGAGATTGATTCTCGTCAATTTTGAAATGTTAGTCCTTTCTTAAATAATTATAACTTACTAATAATATTGTGCGAATAGCCTATTGAAGAATTGACCGGTTACATTAGTTATGTGCGGCAAAATTGCGACCCAACTCTTACTAATGAAGCTTCCAATGCCTTAATAGAAGCCTATGTTGAAATGAGAAAAATGGGTCAAGATCCGAGATCTAGTGAAAGAATTGTAACTGCTACGACTAGACAGCTTGAATCTATGATTAGACTGTCAGAAGCTCATGCTCGTATGAGGTTTGTGTCATTATTGCATAAAAAACTATATTTTACAATTAATTATATTTATTTTGGATAAAGACTATCGTATACTGTGGAAATCGATGACGTTAAGGAGGCTGTGCGTCTTCTTAAGGAGGCTATTAAACAGTATGCAGTTGACCCCAGCACCGGTAGAATTGACATGGACATGATAAACACAGGGAGGGCAATGCATAAACGACATTTACTGGAAGATTTACGAAAAGAAATATTGCGATTAATATTGAACCATGATTCACCAAGTATAAGATGGAAGAAATTACTTCTAGATGTCAGAGGTCAATCAACAATGGCACGTACTTATTCATGCGTATTTGAATTATTATTTATGTATCTTATCATAACTCTAATGTACAAATTTTCCTCTATAGGATGTTTCTGATAAAGATTTTGAAGAAGTGATTAATAATCTAGAACATGATGGCGAGATTCGCGTAACTGGAATTGGACAAGATCGTATCATTAAAAAATTATTGAGTGACGATATTAATTAATACAGTCGTTATATGATTTTTAATAATTTTTTTTGTAATATTCGCTTAGCGTTAGTATCAATAAATCTTTTTTGTCTTAATTAACTTAGATAATTGAAGAAATTTCTGATCTCTGTCAAAGCGTAACTTAACCTTTCTGATCTTATTTTAAATAAAAAAAGGAATACGTAAGTTCCTTAAATAACTTAGAATAATTGACATTATCATGATTTTTTATTTAGACGGAAATTGTTAATTATCAAAGTAAGAATACATGCGTTCTTTGATACATCTTTTTCTTATCAATGGCTGGAATATAAACAGAAGATCATTGTAATAACGTGTCCCAATTTTCGCGGATTTGATCCGTGATTAGGGATTTATCTGCGAGTTCACAAATTTTTTATGAAAATACTTAAGTCGATGGTTTTAAAAGAAATTTTTGTCAAAGTATTCGTTAAAAAAAAATGCTCATCTAAAATCAGCAAATTAAGTGAAAAATCACTCGGGTATAAATTGTCTTATTAAAACTATCCCTTGAGAATTCTGATTTTTTAAGAATTAACATCCAGTTAATGTGAATTAGGGTTGTTAATGGGCTGGCTTGGGTTCATACTCCAATGGAGCGGGTCCTAACCCAACCCAATCCGGTTCATTAGCTCCGGAGTAATACTCCAGGTTATGCTCCGTAGCAATACTCCAGGTTATGCTCTGGAGTAATACTCCAGGTATGCTCTGGAGTAGTTGATTACGAAACTATCTGCATCCAAAACAGAGATTTTTGTGTTCCGTAGTAGGTTCCAAGTAACTTAATCTAATTTTCCGATTTCAAAGATGAATAATTTGCATTTTTAAAGTGAACTCAAAAAGGAATCGAATACTCATCATTGTAGTAAATGTTAAGTATTGTCAGTAATAGATACTAGCAACCCAACCCGGTTACTCCTTTGGACAACCCAGACCAGAGCGCCAGTTTGAGTGGTAGTAAACCCACTCCAGGCTTGGGTTGGGTTCACTCCGGAGTGGCTCCGGCGTGTGCTATTCCATTAACCTTAATGTGAATATCTGGATAAAATATTACTGAATTCATCCCTATAAAGGAGATATCAATTATTTAAATATGTCAAATATAATTATTATATTAATATAATATTTATTCTTCACTTTAAACTTAATATTCACTAGTATAATTATATTTCAATTCTTTTTAAAGCTCTATTATCAGGAAGAAAATTCATAATTTTTATTATATTATCCTATAATTTGATTAGACGAATATTTAAATTCGCAAGGAGAGATCGAAATTAGCAAGCTTCTTTAATTTTCTCAGAATATTCACAAAATTTTTAAAGAAATTCGACAACTTTTACAAATTTTTTGAATTTATATATTTCCGAAACACTTACCATTTGCCAAAATTCACACCAGGAAGAGTTATAATAAAGCTATTTTCGACTTTAAAAAGTTTGTCATATAGATATTCTCATGAATAAATAGGGTTTAATTATATACAGTCGTCCCTCTTAAAGGAACAACATATACAGACCTCTTCATAAGAACCTTTATCTTGGACCAGTTATTATTTAACTTATAAAAAGACCTCTATATAAGAACATTCTTGCTAAAACTTTATGGCCCGATCATCTTATAAAGAGGGATGACTATATGAAAATTCCAGAATGACGATGCGAAAAAAGAAAAACAAGGATAAGGACCAAAATCTCGATTACATACATATATTGCGCACTCGCATATTATACAGAGTTTGGTTTTCAAAAACGATTTGGTTCGTTATAAATAAATATGATTGTTTGTTGCTCAAAGGCCAGGTCAATTTATTCAAGCGAAATCTTGGTTTAAACTTATCTAGTATAATGAAGTTTTATGATATAACGAAAAATCACAGTCAAGAGGTTCGTTAGTGTAGACATTTATCAGCTGATATCTGGATCATATAAAAATTCGCCAGACTCCCTCCATATGATCGATGTAAAATAGCATCGAATAGTAATGCCAGCATTAAATATAATACTAATGTAATGCAACATTATATTAACTTTTATAGAAGCAATATATTTATATCTCTCAATATGTTCTTTAATATTATAAGAGGCTTTTAGCCATTGATTAACTAGAAATTTTAATTTAAGAAACTGATTATATTTTATATCATTAAACTAAAGTGATTTTGAAAAAAATTCAATTTACTTTATAAAGCTAACTTTGTTTAATGAGATTTAATATAATACAAATTATATAATATAAATAGTTTTTTTGAACTATGTAAGATTTGCTCATGGATTATTTCTCTTCTCTTTTTCTCTCATCTCTAAAGTCAAGATGCAAATATTTTTATCTATATCTAAATTTGATAAGTAATATATATATATAAAACTTCAGAATATTTTTGAAGAATTTATTAATACATTTATTTTTCACAAAATAGTTTTGACTGATATTTTATTTTCTAGTAAAAAAAAACTATGTAAAGAAAGTAATAAAAAATAAAATGCTATTAAAAAATATTTGAAAGAAGAAATCAAAGATAAAATTTATAAATATTTAAATATATCAGTTTAACTAAAAGGATATGTTATCTTTTTAAAAAATAATCTGATCCAATATTATTATTATTCTAATTATTATTATTACTATTATTATTGCTACTATCATTATTATTTATCATCTAATTATTAAAGCTAAATAAAATTTCTTTAAATATTATAGCATAATAATTAGTAATTAATAAAAAAAAGAAATTATTATGTAATTTTTCTAGTTACATTATATAATATATCAGAAAAATTCACACAAAAGATTCAAGATATATAGTAATATTATTTGAAGTAGAATTTACACAGAAAACTAATTCAAGACAGATAAGATTATTATGTTTAAAACTTATTCTTTATTTATTATTATATATTATTATTAAAAATATAAAACAGAAATAGTATCTTTAAAT